CAACTGCATGCACTCACCACCATGCAGCAGGCCGACGTCATCGCGTACCAGAGTGATGTCATGGCAACAACCTTGTTTGTCTTCTTCCATGCAGACGTCAGGATATGGATAAGGAGAGCTATAGGATATTCTATAAAGATGCTTGTTCTAGATCTATCCATTGTGGTGTATAAAAAGGGTTGTAAGGATCATTTCCAATTAATGAAAAATTTTAGAGTCTTGATCTGAGAATATTATTCCTTTTCATATCATCTGCTTATGATCGGTTTTACATTTCTTCACCTTCCTTTGAGAACGACCCGGGTCCGGGTAACTCGGTTATCCTTTACCCACCGCATTTATTTAGTAATATTTTGGGCAATTGGTAACCGAGTTGAATGAAAATAAAATTACCGGAATAGTATTTAAAGCTCGAAACTTGGATGAAAATAAAATTACCGGAATTTCGCAGGAAAAATATAGCCATGGGCCTCCAAACCAAAGCACAATAATAAAAGAGAGAAAATAGAGAGGAGGAAATGAGTGGGGTTGTTTTTAATTAAATTACAAATCATAATGTCTATTTATAGCTACACCACAAACACACACTAAAAACACACACATTTAATGAGAAAAACTAGCAAGTGATGTGGATTTCGCGAGCAAAAGCTGGATTTTCGCGGGTTGGAGGGAGCTCGCGAGTGTGGCTTGGGCTAGGGACGCAACTCGCGGCCTAAGAGGTCCTTCCGCAGGTGCAGGGTGCATGCTCGCGAGCAGGCGGGACTCGCTGGTGCTGGAGTGGATACGCGGGCAGGCGGAACTCGCTGGCATCAGGGACTCGCAGGCTGGTAGCAGTCCGCGGGCGCGAAGCTTAAACTCGCGGGCCTGGCAATGCACCTGGGCACTTGCGGGCACTGGACTACGTCGCGGGCGCGGGGCTGTACTCGTGGGCGCGAGTCCTAGGCGCTGAAACTGTTGTGGCTTGATCCCCGTGACCACTTAAGGCTCGATTTGCTCTAATTTTCTCGCACGCTTCTCCGATTGACTTGAAATTTTGACCCACGCTTCTCAAATTCTTTTTCTCCTCGTCATGGAATGCCCAAATAGATACTATTATGCAGTTAACAAATATGCTCAAGACGGCTCGAAAACGGTTTGTGTGGTTCGGACGGTTCAAAAATGCCTCGGACATGGCTCGTCTTCCCAAAATCGAATATTATGGACCTAAAGAACACCAAAAAGACAAGAAAATACGTTGAACCACAAAAACACAAAACGAGAGCAAAAATACACGAAACACAATAAATGGACCGAATGACTCTAAAATGAACCTGAAAAAGACCAAACTAAAGCACATAAATCACACGAAAATAAGCACAAAAACACAATAAACACTAGTCACAGGTGCATTTGCAGGGAAGAGATGAAGGACTGATAGTGATAATTATTTATTCGAAAATCATTTTGGCATGATACTTTTTCTACTACCCATTCGTTATTTTAATCTCGACTCTTTTGTTTTATTTTTGTATTGTGAACTCTTATTTGATATGTTAAGGCTTAGATGTGTCCGAACATTTGAGTCTTTAATTAGGTGAGTTTTTTTTTTTTTTTTTTTTTT